CCACTCTCCATCCATCCACCCACCCATCTATCCACCCATCCACCCACCTATCCACCCATCCACCACTCTTCCATCCATCTGCCCATCCATCCCATCATATCTATCTATCCATCTCTGTCGTATCTATCCTTTTATTGATCTTTCTGTCCATTCGTCTATATGTGTGTCTATCTACGTGGATAAATACACAGATGATATACATGCATGTCCGTTATGAGCACCACGTGCAGACTTTTAAAACTCTGAGTCTAGTCCTGTGAGAAGTGGTTAAAGCACGGGTTCTTTTTGATCCACCTGAGCACCAAACAGAAGTGAGATGCGTGTGTTTGCGTTTACACACTTGTGCGTGGATATGCATCCACCTACCCACTAGGAAGATAGAACCTGCCGTCCTGGGGAGTAAATTGAAGCCAATTCTGTATGTGACTATTTCGGTCATCCTCCCTAGCCGTGTAGAGCATTGCAAATTTTATTTACAAGTGGTGACATTTTTCTTCATCTTTGCTTGATTTCTTTTTTTTAAAGATGACGCAGGAGCATTGAGGTTTTTGCAGGTGAAAGTATTCAACCTCACGAGTGCGGGTGGGGAGTGGGGTTTAGTGGTTAGGGATTCATGCTTAGGGGAAAAGCAAACAAGAACACAGTCACGGGTTTCCAGCACCACGGACCAGCTAGGCAGAGTGTCACCTTGCCAGATGGCGTGACATGCGGCATGGGTTTAGTTTGGAGCCCGAGACACGCCACCTTGCAGAAGTGAGGGCTGAGCCCGTGCCTGGTGCAGCCTCTGTGGCTGCTTGACTGACAGCTGGTGACCTGGTGCACTTGCTTGTGTCCCCCAGGTCCACGTGGCCGCCTCGGTCTCCAAGATGTCCATCCAGGAGAAACTCAAGGGGCCCAGCCCCGAGGAGGAGAGGAAGAAGTGGGAGGAAGGTCGCATCGACTACATGGGGAAGGACGCCTTCGCGCGCATTCAGGAGAAGCTGGACCGCTTCCTGCACTGATGGGCGTGTGTGGTGGCCACCGCTGACCCCTCCCGAGGGGAACTCTGTGCCTCTATTTATGATTCACCAACTCCAGTGCCTGCCCTGAGTTATATAGATGCTAAAGGTCCAGCTCAAAGCCACCCTGGCTGCCCCCTGTCTCTCTGGCTTTCCTGAGAGGTCAATCCTTCCCTTTGTCAGCAAAAGAGAACAAGCCTATCGCCCTAGTGGACCCCGGATGCTGGTCTCTGGTCCTACTGGAAAGAGTTCTCCAGTGCTGTGTAGCCTCAGTGCTACCTGTCCAGCCTTTATGGAGTTCCACTTCGGTGCCTATCTTAATTACCTAATTATGCATTATCTTAATTATCTAATTAACCTCATAACATTCGACTGCCTATCCCGTACCTCTGAGCCTGTCATCCCAGCAGCTCGGGAGGCTGAGGCAGGAGGATCTCGAGTTCGAAGCCAGCCTCCGCCAAAGGGAGGCCCTAAGCCACTCGGTGAGACCCTGTCTCTAAATAAAATGCAAAATGGGGCTTGGGGACGGGGCTCAGGGGTTGAGAGTCCCTGACTTCCATCCCAGGTACCACAAGGGAAAAACAAAAAATGAAGACTGTCATTCGGCGGGGTAGCAGCTTGATCTGCACTAACGGAAACTAGAGATAGATGCTTTTTGCTAAGCCATGACATCAGCAAGCGGTGGGTGACCTCTGAGCAGTCCTTCCTCGGTCTCTGCATCTCTACCTCAGTGCCAAGTACCTTCGGTGATCACTCTCCAAAGCCATTTCCTCTGGGCTCCTGTGGGAGCACAGCTCAGTGTCCTGGGGCTGGACAGCGGCTTCCAATTCCAAACCACCACTTCACACCTACCCTCATCACTGGCACCGATGCAAAGGGCTGCGTGGGTCACTGGGTGGCCGTGATGGGGGATTGGGTTCTAGGGGATCCCTCTCCGACAGGAGAGAGGCACGGGGTGTTGTGGACACTTGGTGGGGTCCTTTGTCCTGCACGTTCTGTGGGAATGCAGAGGGTGGGCTGGGACATGGTGAGAACACTGTTTTATGGTGTCTGTCTGTCTGGCCGGCCTCTGTCACTCAAAGCAGGTTGACCCTTTAGGGAGAGCCGTTGGGGTGAGCTCATGGTGTTGGCTGAGGCGTCCGCCGATGATCCCCATCCAAGCAAAATGGTGAATATATCACAGAACAAAAGAGCATTGGTGCTGTGAAACCCGAAGCCCCCGTCGAGCAAACCAGATGGACGGTATTCCAGAAAACTCATATTCGTAAAGGAATGTGCATCTCTGGAAATGGGAATTTGTGGCAGTGGTTAGTGGGCTTCCAGGATTCTAGCTCCATCTAGAATGCGACTGCATCCTGGTGCGCGCCAGTTAACCTCCTTGGAAGAGCGCTGATGGATTTGAATTAAAGTCTTAAAAAGCCACGGCGTCTCCTCTTAAGTGTGCCTGCAAGGTTCTGAGCGATGGGGATCGTGTTTTTAGAGGGCACAGCGGGAGGGGAGGTGGCTGCCTTGCTCCCAGGACACATTCAAGTGGTCCGGTGGATTTTTCAGAATCCCTGGGACCAAAGTAAAAATGCAAAACATCTTTACTTTGGTCCCTCTGAAGTCTTTTAAGGTTTTTCTTAGAGGAGCTTTTGGATTCGGGGCTCTGTGTTCTCAATTACATTTATTTGTTCCTTCATGGCACGGTTATGGAGTTACCTCTATAGGCTAAGATATGCCATCAATCAATGCATGAGAAGTTGGAAAATACTTGAAAGAATCCCAAAACATCTGCATGAGGAACACAAAATAGGGCTGGGGTGTAGCTCTGTGGTACAGGAGCTTTGGGACCTGAGTTCCTAGGTTTGCTCCCCGGCACCCCAAAAAGAAAAAAATTATAAAAGGTATAAAATAATGTTATTGCCTGAAAACAAATGTCACCATTTGAGATGGTGGAGAGGGGTAAATTTTGAAAACTATGGCCCCGGGCACAGTGATGCACTGCCCGCAGTCTGGCTGGGCACAATTCAGGAGCCACTTGTCAAAAGAAACGAACTTTATTTTTAGAAC